CTTAAGTGATTCTCTTGCCTCAGCCTCCCAAGTAGCTGGGACTACAGATGCCTGCTACAATGCCCGGCTATTTTTTGTTGCAATTGTTATTGTTGTTTAGCTGGCCCAGACCAGGTTCGAACCCACCACCCTCAGTGTATGTGGCTGGCGCTGTAACCACTATGCCATGGGGCTACGGGCACCAAGCCTCTTTTTTTTTTTTTTTGAGACAGTCTCATTTTGTCGCCCTCGGTAGAGTGCTGTGGTGTCACAGCTCATAGCACCCTCAAACTTTTGGGCTCAAGTGATTCTCTTGTCTCGGCCTCCCAAGTAGCTGGGACTATAGGCGCTCACCACAACCCGAGCAATTTTTTTGTTGTCATTGTCTGGCTGACCCAGGCCGAGTTTGAACCCGCCAGCCCTGGTGTATGTGGCCAGCGCCCTAGCCGCTGAGCTACAGGTGCCGAGCCCACAAGTTTTCTTCAGGGTTTTGGAAAACACATGGGAGAATCATAGATGCTACAGAGAGGTGCGTCTTTCTGCACCTGTAGGTTTTATACATTTGGAAGATAAAAGATAAAGGGCAAAATTTGTTTTTAATTAGGAGGCTTTTAACAGATAAACCACTCTGAATTTTCTTTTAAAGCAAAAAAGAAAACAAAAAGAATACATAGACCTAAGTGAGGGCAGTTGAAAGTTTAACAGAACATGCCGCCTTTCCCAGCCCAGGACTGAGGGACAGGCTTTAAGTCTATTCTTGAATTCATCTCAAGAATTTAGGTTTAGGTGCTGGGAGAACTGGATATCCATGCGTAAAAGACTGAAACTGGATCCGCACCTTTCTCCACTCCCTAAAATTGATTCAAGATGGATAAAAGACCTAAATTTAAAGCATGAAATGATAAAAATCCTCAAGGAAAGCATGGGAAAAACACTTGACAATATTGGCCTGGGGAAAGGCTTTATGAAGAAGACTTCCATGGCAATTGCAACAACAAAAATAAACAAGTGGGACTTAATTAAACTGAAAAGCTCTGTACAACTAAGGAGACAATAACCAAAGCAAATAGACAACCTACACACTGGGAAAGAATATAAAAGCTTGCTAAGTAGGATCTACAGAGAACTTAAGTTAATCAACATAAAAAAAGCCAACAATCCCTTAGATCACTGGGTGAGAGAGATGAATAGAACTTTCTCTAAAGAAGACAGACAAATGGCTAACAAACATATGAAAAAATGCTCATAATCCCTAATCATCAGAAAAATGCAAATCAAAACCACCCTGAGATATACAACCTAATCCCAGTGAGAATGGCCCACATCACAAAATCTCAAAACTGCAGTTGCTGGCTCAGTGCCTCAAGCTCAGCAGCTAGGGTGCCAGCCACATACACCCGAGCTGGCAGGTTCGAATCCAGCCCGGGCCTGCCAAACAACAATGACAACTACAACCAAAAAATAAAAATAGCCAGGTGGTGTGACTGGTGCCTATAGTCTCCGCTACTTGGGAGGTGGAGGCAAGAGAATCACTTAAGCCTGAGAGTTTGAGGTTCCTGTGAGCTGTGACGCCACGGCACTCTATCAAGGGTGACAAAGTAGGTCTCTGTCTCAAAAACAAAAACAAAAAACAAAAAACTGCAGATGCTGGAGTGGATGTGGAGAGAAGGGAACACTTTTACACTGCTGGTGGGATTGCAAACTAATACAACCTTTTTGGAAGGAAGTATGGAGAACCCTCAAAGAACTCAACCTAGACCTCCCATTTGATCCTGCAATCCCATTACTGGGCATCTACAAAAGAAGGAAAAAAATCCTTTTACCATAAGGACACTTGCACTAGACTGTTTATCGAAGCTCAATTTACAATCGCCAAAATATAGAAACAGCCTAAATGCCCACCAACCCAGGAATGGATTAACAAGCTGTAGTGTATGTATGCCATGGAATACTATTCAGTTATTAAAGAAAGATGGAGATTTTACATCCTTTGTATTAACCTGGATGGAAGTAGAACACATTATTCTTAGTAAAGCATCACAAGAATGGAGAAGCAAGAATCCTATGTACTCAATTCTGATAGGAGCACAATTAATGATCTAGTATGTGGTGGGGGGTGGAGGAAGAGGAGAGCAGAGAGAGGGAAGGAGACAGGCAGGTGGTGGGTCACCGGGTGTGACACAACTTTTGGGGACAGGACACAACTATAAGAGGGACTTTACCTAACTAATAGAATCAATGTAACCTGGTTCTTTGTACTCTCAATGACTCTCCAACAATTAAAAAGGAAAAAAGAAGAATTTAGGTTTAGAGTTTCTGCTCCTTCAAACAGACTAAGAGCCTTGTGATAAAGTCAATTGAGAAAATAAGTGTAATCAAGCTCTGGTCAAATCTGGAAGAAGGGACCTACCCTAGAAGAAAGGAGAGGCTGAAACTGACCAAGATGGACTGTGATGGACTGTGCACTGGATTCCTCCTCAGGAGGAAAACAAGAGTTCTGGAAAGATAGCAGGGCTCATGTGAAGCCACCGGTCACCAGAGGTTGTGATATTTCTCAGACGGCTCCAGGCCCTGCCCACTCCCAACACCAACTGCACATTACACAAGGTCTCAGGGCCTGAGCGGGCGCCCCTCACTCCTCTGCTGACTCACAGAAAGCTGCCCTTTGCTCCTCCTCATCTTAGCCGTCCCTCTACCCACCACATGCCCTGACTGCCGAGGTGACAACAGTTCTCCCTCCCTTGTCCCTCCCCGTCAGGAATACACTTCAGGGTTTAGCTTGGGCTTTAGAAATCAGTCTGTGACTCCTGGTCAGGGCCCCCTGCCCCTTACTGTCCCCTCATTCCCAGGTGTGGGAAATAGGAGTGACTGGCAGTCAAACTGTACCCCTGAGAACATCCCCACCTTTCACTCCTGTTGCACCAGAAGTCTGTTCCTAAGACCCCTCTGCCAGCCAGGTCTCCTGCCAACATCCCTGCTTCCCTCCCATGAGCCAGAGTGGGCACTTGGCAGCACAGGCTGGAGCCCTGCACCTTCCTAACCAACCAGCTGACCTGGCCAGAGTCCTTGTGTGGCCCAAGTCCTTCCTCACCCATGTGGAGGCAAGTGGCTCCCTGGTGAGGGCAGCCCCCAGCATCCGCACAAAGGTTCCAAAGACTAAAAAGGAAGAGACTGGCTTAGAGCCTGTAGCACAGTGGTTATGGCATCAGCCACATACACCGAGGCTGGTGGGTTCAAACCCGGCCGGGACCAACTGCAACAACAACAACAACCAAAAAATAGGCCGGCATTGTGGCAATCGCCTGCAATCCCAGCTACTGGCAGGCTGAGGCCAGAGAATGGCTTAAGCCCAGGAGTTTGAGGTTGTTGTGAACTATGATGCCACGACACTTTACCCAGGGCAACATAGTAAGACTCTGTCTCAAAAAAAGAAAAAAAAGGAAAAGACCTGTAAGATGGCACTGTCATTATAACCATTTGTGCTGTTGACCCCAGGGTCCCAGACCAGTCTAAAATTCAGCTTGTCGGGGGAGGTCGTGTCCCCATGGCCACTGTTTCAGACTTCTGTGGTGTCCAGCCAGGCACCTGCAGCTGCCAGGCTGCTCCCTTTGCAGGAGCTTGGAGGTGGCACACCTGCATTACCCTTGATGTCCATGAACTGGACGAAAGAAGAGCCTGGGTCTCTGTCCTTCACTGTGCCATCCTTGGGCCTGGTGCAGCAGTCCGGGAGGTGTCCCCAACAAGCTGAGGGCTTTGCTCTTGTGTGTTCTTTGCCATCTGCCCAGCACAGCCTCTCTCGGCTGCTGTGCTCACCTGCCCATCCCTGGTGCCCCGGGGAGTCTGGGTTACTCTCACCTCTGGACAATGCAGGGCCCAAACCACCAGAACCTGCTCAAAACATACTCTTGGAAGTAGACCAGGGAGCCAGGACTCAAGGCAGGAAAAGGCAGAGCTTAAAAGTGGCAGAAGGGCCACGGCTCCTGTGCTGTGGCAGGCAAGCAGCCCCAGCCCGACAGCACACCCTGCTCCTGTGGCAAAACAAGAGAGGGGTCTCTGGGCCCAGGGAGGGCTGGAGCTCCTGCAGCATCTGCGGCCCCGGAGACCTGAAGGCTCACTCCAGCCTGGCACCTCGCACTGCCTCCCCCTGCCTGGAGCCCCAGGCCCTCCGATTGGGCCTGGCTTGGACAGAGGGGTGGTCCCTGCCGCGCCCTCCCTCTGGGGCCTGAGGCGCCCGGGCTTTGGAGACGGTGGGGCTGGGTCTGAATGGGGAGATGGGGTGGTGCCCTCCGCCCTAGCGAGGACCCGCGCCACGGTTTGGGGACTCTCTCGCCGTGTTTGGGGGTCTTTCTAGAGGATTTGGGGGAGTCTCTCCGCGGGGGGGGATGTGGGCTCTCCGCCACCCGCTTCAGCCCCCACCCCGTAATGCAGGATCGCTGCGCGGCCCCAGGACTCGAGTTCCGGTCACTCCCACCCGCGTCGGGCTCGGCGAGGCGGCGGGGAGGGGGGGCGGCGGGCGCTAAGCCCCGTGACGCGGCGGTTGCTGGGCTTCTGGACGAGCCGCATAAATAGCTGCAGCGGCGGCGGCAGCGGCAGCTGCGACTCCGGCCGCGGACACGTCGAGGGCGTCCGGCCTGCTCGCTTCCCGCCTCCGCCACCTGATCGCGCCATGCGGTGAGCGCCCGACCAGCGCCGCCCGCCCCGACGCGCCGGCCTCGGCCCGCGACCCCGGCCCGCGCCAACCCAGCCTCCCGCAGCCGCCGCTCAAGGTACCCGCGTCGCGGCCCCGCGCCCCTCGGAGTCCAGTCCAGGGGGAGGCGGCCGCGGGCCTCCACTTTTGTCTCCTTCTCCCGGAGGATGATCCCGCGAGCTCCCGCCCCTCTGCCCGCCTCCCAGCCGACCGATGCCTGTGTCGCTCCCCGATGCCCCGGCGCCCACGTCCCCGCTTCGCCCCCCAGGGCCGCTAACTCCGCCCCCCTCCCCGGCTTGTCCCGCCGACCCGCCCGCCGTCCCTTTCCTTCCAGATGGCCAGAGGCAGCGCCCTCCTGCTCGCCTCCCTCCTCCTCACCGCCGCCCTGTCAGCCACTCTGGGACTCGGGTCGCCGGTAAGTGCCAGCGGAGACAGACGTCCCGCGAAGCCGCGTCCGCTTTGAAGAATGGGGCGGCCGCGGCCTGGCGTGGAGGGCAGAGGTGCGTGGTCGGGGACAGAGCATTAGCTCTGCCCGCCTGGGGCCCGAGCGGCAGAGCTGCCCCTGCTCCCGGCTGGGGGGACGGGAGAAGGATCCACAGGAGCCAGCAGGGGTGGGGGCGCCGACGGCTGGGCGGGGAGCGGGGCTGGGCTTCCCTTCAGACGGTCAGCGGGGTTCTTCCCGCTGCCTGTGATTCCTGCCAGCACTGCGGGTCGGTCGTAAGGATCAGTGAGACCCAGAGGGCAACGTGTCTCAGCATCATTTAAAAGCAAGCGGGGCTCAGTGCGCGGAGCTCAGTAGTTAGGGCGCCAGCCACATACACGGGGGCTGGCGGGAACCCGGCCGTGGCCTGCTAAACAGCAATGACAACTACAACGAAAAAAGAAAATAGCCAGGCGTTGTGGTGGGTGCCTGTAGTCCCAGCCACTTGGGAGGCTGAAGCAGAGGATCCCTTGAGCCCAAGAGTTTGAGGTTGCTGTGAGCTGTGACAGCACTCTACTGAGGGTGACACAGTGAGACTGTCTCACAAAAAAAAAAAAAAAAAAAGCAAGTGGGGTCCACTGCGAATTTGTGGTCTCTGGCTCTCATTTGGTAAAGTAGTCCTGTTTTCATGCCAAATATAGTTATTTAGGGGTAAATATGGAATTTCTTGAGGCTTCCAAACACACATCATTCCAGTTCCTCTATGGTGCCTGGAACCTGGGTGCCTATCATTTAATATTCTCTTTGGGCACAGTCCTTGCCATCTGACATCCCCTTTCTCCCATTCAAGGCCAAGGAAAAGAGAGGCTGGACCCTGAACAGCGCTGGCTACCTTCTAGGCCCACGTAAGTGATACTAAATGCATGGCCTCTGATGCTGATGGTAGCTGGTTTTGCTAATCCTGCTCTTTCCAAGATATGTGTGGCCAGCCATCATTTTGATACAGTAATATTCCAGTTTTCATCAATAAATGGAAATGGGGGGCATTTCCACAACAGTGAGGCAGGAGGGTTTCCAGGTAGGTTATCCAGCTATTGATTTCAGTATTTGCAGGTCTAGAGGTAGCACCCTCTCCCATGGCCTGAAGGGAGCCCCAGACCCCTGGTAGTCATCCTCCTCCCCTCCGCTTGTCTCACCACAGCAGATGAGCTAATTCCCTAGGGGGCTTCTGACTTCATCTGCCCCCCAGCTGTGGGGTACATTGTTCTGTCTTGAACCCTGACTCTGCCTTTGTCCCACAGCCAGGCAGACCCTTTGGCATCCCCCTTTCTCTCCATTTCTGGGGCTGCCTGCTGTGCCAGTCTCCACCACTCTGCACATTTGATCTGAAGACCCATTCTTTTCAGGAGCTTCTCTTGCCCCTACCACCCTGCCACCCTGCCCACCCTGGGCTTTGCTTAAGCTTTCCTGACTAAGCCACAGCCCCTAAAGGTTCTGTTCTGGCTCTTCTCCTAGGTCCCCCGGCCTCCCTACACATTCTCATCTATTCCTTAGTTTAAGGGCTCCTCTGCAAGGCCAGCTTACTTACAAGTCCTCTATAAATTTAGGATCAAGAATTCTCTCTTCCAGAAAGATGCATTTATTTTCCTTAGTATAGCCTCAAAGATGACACAAGCCACCCAGGCTAAGGAGCCAGAAACGCTGAGCTGTTCTCACGCTGGTCCTCACCTCTTCCCTTCCTGCCCAGCCCAAAGCCAGCCCTTCTCTTTACTCTGTGCCTCACTTTCCTGGACTCTGAGATAGTTTCTTAAGGGATCTCTCTGCTTGCAGTTATAACCCCCTCCCCACTTCTTACAACACGAACTGCACACACTCCCTCCCTTTTTTCCGTCTCCATCCTCCTCTCTCCTCTGCCTGCCTCCAATCTTTCCCCCACAGCTGCCAGAGTGGTCTTTGAACAAAAAAATCTGATTCCATCACAACTTACAATTCAGGGGCATAAGGACCCTTGCCTGTGGCTGCCTGGGAGACACCCCACTCGGATGCAAGCTCGTGGGATGTGGGTGCTCCGCTGTGCTAGGCATGCGCCCCTGGGCCTGTCCCACTCTGCCAGACCCGCCTGTTCCCCATTCTCCTCCTTCACTGGGAAGCCCCTTCCATGCATCTGTAGCCTGGCCAAGAGCTGTGCAAACCGTCACATTCCCTGTGGCCCTGGCACAGATGTCCACATTCTTAGCTCCAGGTCCATGGAGAGTCACTTTTCCTCTACTGTGGTCCCCACAGTTTGACTTTATTTTTGTGATTGAGTTGTGTGTGCTTTGGTTACAAGCAGCCACATGTGCAAACTATAGTAACATTCAGATGACTCCTTCTCTGGTCTGCAAACAGATGCTGTTCACAACCACAGGTCATTTAATGACAAGCATGGCTTCTCTGGCAAGCGGGAACTCCAGCCTGAAGAGGAAGTGCAGCCAGGTGGGAGGCCTGGAACCCCAGGGACTCTGGGTGCACTCTGTGGGTGGCAGTGGGTATTGGGTGCCTGCCAGCCACCTGCCTGCTTGTAGCTGCAGCCTGAGCCGGCCATGGCTTGACTGGGACAGTGTGCCTTCACCACCCCGACAGCAGCCAGAAACAGAACGAGCCAAACCCAGGAGGACGCTTGGGGGGCAGCCAGAGAGATAGCAAGGGGAGTCCTTCTAGACTGAGGTGCTGCCCAGGCACCGGGACCTCATGCAGAGTGGAACCTTGAACCAGATCCCTCCTACATCCTGGGCAGGGTCCGTGGGGAAGCATAGTGATGCCCAAGGCCACTCGGGACCAGCTCCACTGAGCTCACAGCACCCAGTTCCTCCATAGGGTGGTGATGGCCTGAGACAAAGAAGTCTGTGAAAGCTGTAAATGTTCATCTTCTGTTTTCTAGGAAGCTTTGAGAGACCAACACCTGAGAACAACATTGTGCGCACGATAATTGAATTTCTGACTTTCTTGCACCTCAAAGGTATGTGAAATAATTCCACTGGGCATACAAAAGGATTCCACAAATTCCCCTGGAAAGTAGCCACTTATCCCTCTAAATACCAAGTCCTGCCCTGCTACAGTTAGGACATAGCAGGTGACACTTGAACTAGCTGCAGGGGGCTGGGATTGTGGCACGGTCATGCTATGGAACCTGGAAGGGTCATCAGACCCACACTGCTGCTCAGAAGAGGAGCCTTGGGGTGCACCTCACTCACTTGGACTCGTGTTTATTGACATGGTGACATGGTGACACTGTTAAACCTTTGGGAAGGTGCTGAGAGAGTTAGCAGCAGGACGCTTGAGTGAGGACTGGGAGGTGGGGAAGGGGTGGCAGGGTAGGAGCTGGAGGACGTCTTTGTCTCTCCAGTGGGGACATTTGTCAGGTTTTGCTTGTTGTAGTTTTGTTGCCCAGTTTGGAAAAGTCAAGGTTAATTCCTGGTTCTTATGGATGTGGCTGTTTTCATCAGTGGCGTTGAGCTTGTGGGCTCCACCACTTTGTAGGAAGGACTTGGTGGAAGGGACCAGAGTTGGGTAGGGATTTAAGGTCTGTTGCTTATTCTTTAGGCCTGTCCAGGGACTTGGAAATGACAGTGTTCATTAGAAATCTCAAACCCTGGCTCGGTGCCTGTGGCTCAAGTGGCTAAGGTGCCAGCCACATACACCTAAGGTGGCAGATTCAAATCCAGCCCCGGCTTGCCAAACAACAACAACGGCTGCAACCAAAAAAATAGCTGGGTCTTGTGGCGGGCGCCTGTGGTCCCAGCTACTTGGGAGGC